CATGAAATCTGTGTGTAAAGCCCAGCCTCCTGGTCCTGCTAAGACATCGATGTCCACGGAACCATGGGAAATGCAAGGGGCAGTGAAGAAGAGTGGGAAGAACTCACTTTCCTCTGAGCAAAAGTACAAGAAAGCTCTCTTGCATGTGAAATGATTACATTGCAGCAAGACTGCAGGTTCAACAAAATTAAGAAAAGTGACGGAAGGGGAGCAAGGGTGAAAATGTTCAAAGGAACGGCATTGACCAAGACCATTGCATTCATAAGGGCTTTGTTGGAGGGCAACTCCTTTGTACAAAGATTCGAAAATATTAATAATGAAAAATTAATTCCTTGGCTGGGTAATTTTCAAACATGGTTTGAAAACAATGTTAAAATAGAGAGGAGGAATTATTAATTTTCTTCATCCTCTTAACTCCCAAAGAGAACCATTTACTTACAAGTCACAACGAAGAGGATTTTCTGGAATAAGGTTTTATACATTTACCACGTAGTCTTGGGGGGGGGGGGAATGTAAGCTAGCCTAGGTATTTCGCAAAATGTAGAAGTAATCAGCGTATTCACTTCTGAAGAGTCACAGAGCAGCCACCTCAATGCTCCTGAATGGACTTCAGCCAAACGCCGGAGAAGGACAAGCGTGGGTTAAGGGAATTGTTGAACCACCCTCTGTGTGGAACAGAACGTGTTTGCATCCAGACCATGCTAGATCTTTCCCAGCAGATAATTTATACCACCAGGGCCTGTTCACTACCAAGCAATACGGTGTTCTCCCTGCTCACGTTGCTAGCTAGTCATCAGACTGCACACAAACGCACACAAATAAATGTGTCTGGGTTTCCTTTTCTGAATAAGTCTACTTTGTTTGGATCACTGGGCCCACCTCTATGTACAAATAGTCTTAGAAACCATGAATGAGTGCTCATCTATCGGTATGTCCAGACAGGAGCGCATTAAAAATCCTCATCAGTCACTGAGGAACTGTCTCATCGAGGGCTGTCAGAGTTCCAAACATAAACAAATGAGGGATGCTCTGACGCTTGCCAAAGAGGAAGGTATATCAGCTGCACATTTGGTGGCTTCTCATGGGTATCTGTGTTTGTTGACCTTTCCTGTCTATCAAGACTATCAAGCTACCAGGACCCAGTAGTACTCTCCATGTTCTCGATCAGGATGCCCTTCCTTGGCCTTCACTTCCATTGGGCTCCCAAGGACCAGTTTGCTCTCCTTACGCCTCCCAACCCTTGCTCCTCTGCTACACCCACAGTTATCCTTGCTGCCTCCTTCTTGGCATGCTCTCTGAAGAGAAAACAGCTGTTTGGTTCTACCTGCTTTACTCTGCTTCGCTAGACATGTCTAGTCTGTGCGCCTTCTGAGCTACAGGTGGTGAACAAGGTTAAATATTCTCATCCGGTTTCAGAATGTTGAATTTCTTTTTTTTTTAGTATACTCACGCATATAAAAATATACGAAAGCAAGGTTTATGCAAGGGGTGGGGTATCTCTTGTGCAACTTCCTTGAACTTTCCATTTCATAAAATGAGTTTCCAGAAGCAGAGACTGGAGGTGTCATGGGGTGTGGGGATTTTGAGGTCAAGGGTGGGTGGGCAGACAAATGGAGAGAGGAAAGGTGGGTGAAGGGAGTCGTCAGATTCAAGGTACGTATGTGAACATGGAATTTGGAAAATTGAGGGCAATTGGAGAGACAGAGGAGAATGATGAAAGGAAGACAATGATCAGGATATACTGAATTTATATCCTGACACAGTGAAGGGAAACGCCTTTGTAATGATTAAAACCAAAAGAAAAATGCTTTCAAAATACACACACTTCCAATGATAAACTCCTTCGGTGTCTTTCTGGCATTTCAAAGGTCACATCCAGCTGGTAGGGCCAAGAGCTCATTTATCACCTCAAAACAGAGGCCTCATCTTTCAGATGAATGAATTTTAGCCTAAACAGCCACAAGTTAACTTCTATTTAACTAAAGCTACTGTCAAACCTACGCCTGCCTTTCGTTCCTATGAATAACAGCATTCCAAGCTCCCTAACACACAAACGGCTCCCCTTTCCAGTGGGACCGCCCCAGCGAAGCCCCTACACGCATTATTCTCTCATTCATCTCCATATTTCGCACTGTGGCTCACAGTATTCTTTCCTGATTTTTCTCCTTTGTTTGTCCTGATACTGGGGCTGGAAGCCAAGCATTCCCACTCTCCGGGAGCTTCTCCACTCAAGGCTGGAGCTCCACCGCTCTACTTCTAGCTTGTGTTGCAGAGACCGGAATGGAAAGTGGGGAGTCTTTCCAGGGGGCTTTGCTACGAAGGCTGCTCTGTGACAGTGTCCTGGAAACTTCCAATTCGCAGGTTTACCTGAGCACATCCATGTCACACGCCACAGCACATGCACGTCAGACGCACACCACAGATCGTATGCACTAACACCACACTCCACAGACACGCACACAGAGACCTTGGTGGGACGGAGATGTGAATGGGCCTGCTGGGGTTCAAAGAGAAGCTGGAAAGCCCTGGCACTTTCCCTGAGGAATCTTGTTTCAAGTTCCCCTAAACTTGGGGTGTCAGGAGCCCCAAGTTTCAGAAAGGACAGTGACCCGAGCTCACCCTGACTCCACAGTAAAACTTCCAGGGCGTGGAGAGTCGCTAGCAATGTATATGTGAAGAAATGCAGGGTAATGTCTTCTCTTCCTTAAAGAGTTTTAACCACCACTCACAGAGCCAGGCCTACATGGAGCCCAACTTTCACAGGCATCTGGCTCCTCTATTTCCCGAGACTTTTGAGACTCTCAGGTTCTGTGGTAAAAAGCATCCTCCGTCTCATGTCTTTCCTCTCACAACCTAAACTTGAACTTCTTTCCAGCCACGTCTGCTGCCGTTCATTTACCACTCTCTTAACCTTCCAAAATTCTACTGTGGTGACCTCAATTAACCAGCCCTTTGTCGTTGTGCGGTAAATATGTTCATTCATTAAATTCTTGCCAAGTTACGAGTGTCCACGGGAAATGGAACATATTGATAGGTGGCAAATTCCCAAATTCATCTTATAGAGAACTCTAGAAGATGTCAGACCTCCATTTCCGAATGTCTTCTCTGCTCTTGCTGCTCAGTGTCATGAAAGAGAGCAAAAGAATGTATTTTACCACAAAAAAAGTTAATACTTGAGGGGCACAAGATTCAAAATTACATTAATGTAATAATTAAAGACACACAAGACTATCATCAACTTGAATTCATTTGCTCAGTAAATATGTTTGGACCACTAACTGTGCCAAACCCACAAGGAAGCTACTGAAACTGCTTTCATGAGCTGAGAGGATCTGCGTTTAATTAAAGTAGTAAATGTGGAAAGGAAGGAAGTGATGACATATATATATATATATATATATATATATATACATCTATATGTACATATCTGCATATATATATATATATATATCTTTTTAAAAGAAGCATCATACAACTGTTCCAATCATTTGTTTGGTTTATGCCCAACTACTAGCTTTGGGGCTTCTGTAATGAAGAGCCACAAACTGGGTGAGTTAAACACAGGAATTGCTTGTCTCACAGCTCCTGCGGCTGAAGGGAAGTTGGCAGCATTTGTCCCCTCCAAAGCTGGGAGAGAGGTATCTGTTCCAGGCTTCTCTTTGGCTCCTAGTGAGTTTCTTTCATGTTCATTTGGAATCTTTCCTGTATCTACATCTGTCTTGAAATTTCCTTTTTTTTTCTTAAATAAGACATCAGTCTTTTTTTTTTTTTTGTCAGTTGTAGGGCTTGAACTCTGGGCCTGGACACTGTCCCTCAGCTCTTCAGCTCAAGGCGAGCGCTCTACCACTTGAGCCATGGCGACACTTCCGGTTTTTTGGTGGTTTATTGGCGATAAGAGTCTCATGGACTTTCCTGCCCGGGCTGGCTTTGAACCGTGATCTTCAGATCTCAGCCTCCTGAGTAGCTAGGATTCCAGGCATGAGCCACCAGCGCTCAGCTGACATCAGTCATTTTGGAGTAGACTGTGCTGTGTGACTTCAGGATAACTCGATTAAGGTTTCTAGGAACTTCTTTCCAAATAAGCCCAGGTTCCAAGCTTTTTAGGGTCAGGACTTTGAACATAAATTTGGTGGGGACATAATTTAGCCCACGGCAGCCCTCTTCAAACGAGCAAGGAGAATGCTGGTTTCATATTTGTACAAATCAGTAAAACACCGCAGGTAGGTAGAGGAAAGCATTCCAGAGGATGGCCTGCTGGGGACGGCAGCCCCCAGCACCTGTCACAGACTGCGTCTCCTTGGTAACCTCCATGCACCCGTGTCCGTTAAGGCCTATTTCCTATATGTCATCCTGTCTGCAGTAACCGCAGACATTACCCAGAGTTCTTGTTGGTGTGAGCACCATACACAGTTCAGCACCAAGATGGGTTTAGAAACCAGGACAAAATACTCCAGCACTTAAAAAAAAAAACAAAACCAAACATGCACTTCAAAGGTACTCTTAAGCCAAATGGAAGTCACAATTTAATCATGTATTTCATTAGCTTCTAAGTTTGCAAAACACAACACTCACCACACAAATCACAGACACCCTGTAAAAGTGCGACATGACTTCACTTACCTGCTGGGTGTCTTCCGGAAGTTCCCAAATTCCCAGTCCCCACCCTAGGTGCCTCAAAGTAGATTTTCATAAATGCATAGATATTTTCGGAAGTCTCCTGCACCACCCAGCCACCTGCCTTCTTTCAGAGCCCAGAACAACGAGGCCGCTTGATTGACAATGGACATAGCTGACAACAAAAACATCATCTAGTTCTCCGTTAGTTCTGATCAACAGAAATCCAGAGGATATTTGTGGATCAAAAAAGGCAGTAGAACCCTGTGTAGTGTGGCAAAACAGCTAAGAAATAGCTGCTGCTCATTGGTGCACCGATATATTTAATCTGCAGATTTAAAAAAAATTATGAACAACATCTTCGAAGGTGGAAAAGCACAACTTACAGATGAGGTTCTGTCCACCTCGCAACGGCTGCTCAGAATGAAACAGGCCTTAGCGTCATCCATCCTAAACACAGTCAGAAGAAGAGAGTCACACCGTGAAATCAGTGTGCTGAACCAACAAAAGTAACCAGAATTACAATGCACAGTCTATTTATGTATTTATTTTTTGTGCTGATACTGAGGCTTGAACTCAGGATCTGGGCACTAAATTGGCTCTTGCACTCAAGGCAAGCACTCTACCACCTGAGCTACAGCTCCACTTCCAGTTTTTTGCTTGGTAATTGGAGATTAGAGTCTCAGACTTTCCTGCCCAGTTGGCTTTGAACCATGATCCTCAGATTTCAGCCTCCTAAATAGCTAGAATTATAGGCATGAACCACCAGCTTCAACCCATTCAGTACAGGTGGATTGTGTGTATGTAACTATAACCTTAAAGAAAAGTTGAGTTTCTAGTATATCCTGACTGTATTTGACTCTGAATGAAAGAATTCTGTTGGGCTGTTTATTTAATTCAGTAGTTTATGATGGAAGTTAAAAAGAGTAAAGGCTTTCTTCTCCTATGACTGTATATTTTCACATATATGCTTTGCACAAATTACGGCATGCCATTGGACTCTGCTTGCTGATGAATTCCATGTTAGCTACAATGTCTCAGGTAAATTAAGAGTGCGAACAAAGCAATTCGGTATTGGTGAATCAAACTCTACTGTACATTTATTTTTCTTGAAGACGACTCCATCCCCCTCCCTTTGTGTGAAGGTGTGCTATATCTTAAATAGTAATAAAGAAATATCCTTTAGTGCTTGATACATAATGTTTAAAAACACAAGAACGTTTCTTTTCAAAAGAAGAAAGGGCTTATCATTCTGTTACACTAGGATAAAATAAACCTTTGCCAAAAATACTTTCAGTGGAGAGGAAAGCTGAAAGGTTTACGAAATGTATCCAAAGCAAACCGTTCTGAAAAGAAAGAAAACACGCTGATACACAACTTTTTATGATAAGATGAGTGTTGGCTAGCATTTGTAAATATTTTCACCAAGACAATTCAAAACTCATGCAGCTGACCTTTGCCGCTTGATTGGAGTCTTTACTCCTTGTTCTCTGCATTGGGCGACAGCAGGTTCAGTCTGCGCCCCTCGGGAGCCTTGCCCAGGCCTGGCAGCGCCGGGGTGGCGCAGGTAGATGGCTCACTGATCTCCTGGTCCCTGCAGCCCTCAGGGACCCTCTGTCTCCTCCACCAGACAGCACTAGCACTGTCTGCAAGTGCGTTAAAGGACATAACTCTGGCTCCTTCCCTTTGCTATCCCACATCCTTCTTAGTCCCATGTGTTTATTTGTGGAATCAAAGCAGCCTTCAGGGATCTGGGGACCACTCTAGCAGGGAGGCTGGATGGGCCTGGCAGCTATTACCAGCTGAGCTAACCCTGCTTCCCCGTGCGTGGTGCAGACGCAGACGGCTGGAAGCCATGGGTGTGGGGCGAGGCTGGAAAGAGGAGGAAATGCATCGATGCTCTGATTCTGACCCTACCAAGTCCAAGTCTGACTCCCACATTCAAATACACATTTGAAAACAACCTTGCAGCACTGATAACTGCTACAACTTGGAGGAGGAAAAAAAAGACACCAAAGCATCAGAAATGGTAACCTTTAAAACGGGAGCAGAGATCAGTACACCTACTTTGCTCTCAATAGATCCTGATCTTTGAGAGCTGAGCCTTGAAGGTAGATCACTCGCTGGGACCACATCGGAATCTGCAAGACCCTGCGAACTTGCACGTCCATCTCCGTAGGGCATAAAATCACCACGTAATAATCCTGTTCGAAACAAAATGGGAGGGGTGTGCAAACACTTGGTGCTTTAAGTGACATACCACACAGGTAGATTCAACAGTTAAAAGAAAAATTGAATGAAGGCTCAATTCATAACTTCATTATCATCCTAAATGATACCTTGAATACCAGGTAGAACCCAAAGCTGCCACTGTGATTTATATTATTTGGTGACAATATTATGAACTGATCACTTGGAAAAATTGTTGATGAGCATTTTGAAGAGCAAGAGGTACCAAAAAAAATGAAAGGGTTTAAGATCAAAATATTAGGAAATGTGTAGTCCTTTGGAGAAAATGCAAAGGCTTTCTAAATGATAAAATGATTTTATTTTTGTTGTTGTTGCGATTTTTTTAGTCACTGTTATTAATGAGAAATTTAGAAAAGGGTTACAATTCCATAAGTCAAGCAATGAATCAATGCTGCTTGGCCAATGTCACCCTTCCCTCACTCTCTCCCATTTTTCCCTAATAAAACAGTTTTAAGTAAGTGTCTACATCAATATTAGATTTAATTATTTATTGTAGGATCAAATTTCTCCCCACAATAGATTTTTCTTAATATATACAGACTGTAAGTTATGAAAAGATGATTTTACTCTAAAACATGATAAAGAACTTCTACAAAAATACAAAGTCATGAATATGAAAATAGAGGAATGTATCGTACAGTTTTCACTTATAAATTAATTTTAATGTAAACACATAATAGTTAAAAGGGTCTCCAAAGTATTTTCTTTATTTTAAGGGAAGGATTATTAGATATACTTATTACTGTGTTGGTCTTGACATTATTCTACCCCTTGACAAAATCTGATTGATGAGGTACAAGACCAGTAACTCTTAATTCTTCAAACTATACTATTTTCAGCAAGCAGGAAAAAAGAAAGCTAAATCTCCATTAACCCTGTACTCTGAAAGTAGAAGAAATTTCCAGAGATTTTTATCTGGACAGACAAACAAAAAGATCTTTCTTTATGTTTTTAATTCACCTAATTCTTGTGCCATTCTTGGAATTTACTGCACCTATAAATAGAACTTCTTATATTCCTGAAAACAAACAGGCAAAGGACCTTCCAGACTTCTAAAATTCCCTTGGCAATATTTTGCTCACTTCTCAAGTACACAAGGGAACAGATGACCTTACATTGGCACCTTCATTGTTTTATTACATTTTATGTTAAAATTCACTGTTTCATTTTTAAAAAAAGAAAAGAAAAACATCACTGATGCTTTACCCAAGAGGGGAGAAAGCAACCTTTTAATTCAAAGAAAATCCTTGGTTTCCAGAATTAGCATAATTCCATCTGGTTTTAAGTGTAGATACAGAAAGAACTTTAAAGTATTGTTTATCCCTCCTGCAGTTTTTCTATGTTCCCGGTTATATTTGTAGTTCATTTACTGCTTCTAAATTTCGAAATACATAAATAAAAACCCTCCAGCATGCTGGCCGTCTGCAGGGCTGCTTAATTGGCTTTGACAAGATGTTAGCATGGATGGTGTGGTGTGGTGAATAATAAAATCCAAGTGTACCTGTAGTCGCGGATGCGCATAGAATTCATTTAAGAAGTCCATCAGTAAGTCGATCTTCAGTGAGCTGACACACAGAACAACATGCTTTTCAGTCTGGGCCCTGTGGCGGCTGTAGTTACCTCCTGACTTTTGTCTTTCCATCCACAAGTAGGCCAACTGCTCAAACTGCAGTGAGTGTATTTTTCACATGGGAAGGAGAACACCAGACACACAAACAGAAAAAAAAAATCAATGCAGGACATCTACTGTTCACTTCACTCAAGTCTTTCAGATGGGATGTGGTGAGAATAAAATCATGATCATGGGATTTCTTCAGAGTCTACCGAGGTCACTAGGGAGCTTCAAGTCTCCAAAGAAACATACTAACATGAGGTTACTTCTATCAGGCCTATCCTATCAGGCCAATAAGATGTGTGTTGTCCCCCTGATTTTGGCTTGCTGTGTCATGGGCTGAGGGGAAGAGAAGAATCCCCTGTGCATTTCTACACATTCCTCCGCCTGGCTACACTCGCGTGTCTTGCAAAGGTCGGAGGCAGGACCTCGTGCCCAGTGCCACCTTCCAGAAGTGCAGAAGCTGACCTGGGGGAAGGGAGGGCACACAGGGCGAATGTCAGGAAGACACAGGTGGAGGGGAGGCCATTTTTGTACGTGTTTGAGGTGCTTTTTGATACACCGGGGACCACATTGTGGAATTAGCTTGCAAGGCTAAATTGTATTTGTCATTGATGCCCTCGACACCAAGGACTCAGGATGTGAGAGGTTAGAGACTGCTTCTACTCATCTGTAATCACATTGAATATTTCTGTCCCTTTGGGAGCTCCGTAGTCACTGCCCAAAATGGGACATTGCTATTTAAAGTCCATGTCTCCATTTTGTTTTCATCCACCAATACAGCGAATAAATCTTCACTTCATTGCAGTGTACAGATTTAGTGATTATTCACAAGAAGGAATTGAATCCTTCCCAAATTCACTTCTTTCATTTGTTGGCCAATCACTAAAAATAATCGTATCTTATGATGAATATGGTTGTCATTGTGTTGAAAAGGAAACAAGTAACTGAAATCATATGAGTTATCAGCTGTGATTGGAGGAAAAGAAACAACTCAGTGTTTGGAATGAAATGTCAAAAAAATGAGCATTTCTGAAATAATATAAATAGTTGACATGATGATGAAATAAGCCAGCCTGTGTTTATTGTAGAATGTGAAAGAGTCAATCTCATAGGAGTTGCATGCTTCTATAAAATGAACAAAGGTCGTGTTTACCTGTATGGGTAAAACCACCAGAGCAACACAGATCATCGCAACCACAAACAGCTTGGAGGGCCAGGTCTCCGGGGTGACATCCCCAAAGCCCACAGTAGAAAATGTCACAATGCAGAAGTAGAGGGAGTCGAAGAGATTCAGCTTCTTTCCAATTCGCTCCAGATGCTGGATTCCGCAAATGCTAAAAAAGCAAAAGGTGTACTACCATTACCACCTGCATGTTGGACATGGGGTCTCCCATCACTGTTCTCCCAGAGACAAAACATGTCTCAGACAGCCGAGCTCTCTTGTTTTACAGCGCATGTTCTCAGAAAAATATCGGTTTGAAGTGTTCAACTACACTAATCAGAGAGAATCTTATTTTGGCTAAAAGCCAAACTATTATGATGAGCAAAAATGCTAGCGGAAATATCGAATCCATTCATAGTCATTCATGTAAGCATGGAGATCAGACACTGCTAAATCTCATTCTGTTTGAGACAAGTAAGGTTAACGGAAGCAAGACAGCACACAGTTAGAAGACGCCTCCAAAACAGGGGTATTACAGGGCATCCGCAGTAGCACTGCTCCTCGTTCTAAGGAGGGAATAACAATGAGTGACAAATAGGTGACTCCTGCTGGAGGTTTCTGCAAACATGACAGTGTAGCACTCCTTTATTGGAATGATGGCGTGGAGCCAACCCCAAATCCTCAATGCAACAATAGTAAAATGGGAGGTGATTAAGGAGTGGAGGATGGAAGTCCTTCAAGCTGGACAGGAGAGACTCGCGGAGCCCCTTTTTGTCCTTCCGCTTTCTGCATTGTGAAGATACAACAAGAAGACGCCATCTTGGAAGGAGACAGAAGAACAAACCCTAACTGAATATTTATCCTTATAGATCTCGATATTAGAAATCTCAGCCTCTGACTCAACTAGCAATACATTTCTTTTGTTTATAGCTTATCCCATCTCAGATATTTTTGGTATAACAGAAGACCAACACAGATTTTAATACTAGAAGCTGGAAGTTGCTGTACCAAATACCTAAAAAGTCCTGGAGCAGGTTTGAAACAGGGTAATGGGCAGAAAAAAATTGAAGGTAAGTGACAGAAAAAGTCTTGATTGTCCTATATGGGGTGGTAAGACAGTAATTCTGTAAGGGATCAGAACAGGAGAGTCGAAGAGAAACTAATCTTCTTAAAGATTGCAGAAGTAGTCATAACTAGAATGTCGGTAGCCACGTGGACAGTGAAAGCCATTCTGGCGAGTTATTAGACAGGCACGAAGAATATTTTCCTGGGAAGCAGAAGAAAGGCCATCTGTGTCACACAGTGGAATCGCTGGGCTGAATGCTTCCATGTCTTCGGATTCTGTGCAAGGCAGAACTTAGGACCGATGATGGAACTAGAACTTTTGGCAAAAGACATCTCTAAATTAAGGAAGTGTTCTGGGTATTTCAAGGCAGCTCCTGACGGCATGCTAAAATGGGAGAAGACAGAAGTGGGTTCAAGACGGCATTTCTAAGCAAAGGGTGACAAAACACGGATTTGGAGGAGTTACATCCTGTCCAACGTGTGAAGAATGACAGAAACAGTGCCGAGGAGAAAGCACAAAGGGCTGGAGGTTCCCCGGAGCGGGGAAGCGCTGTCCTCCCTGCCACGCTGGCGGGCGGCTGCCTTTGAGTCGCCTCAGTGCGCCTTCAGGGCACAGGCTGTTCCAAAGGAGGGACCCCAGAGCCCCCTGGGCTTGTCCTGAGGGACGCTTCGGGCCCCTTATCCTTGCACTGGGGGACAACATTTGGGGACAACCCAGGTATGTTGCAAACACATCCTAGAGCCGCTCCTGGGCACAGGGGAGGGGCAGGGACAGAGAAGGCATGGCGCCACAGGTGTGCAGCGTGACTGGCCTCTGAAGGAAAGCTACGCAGGCCTGGAAGTTCCAAAGGGCGTTTCTGGGGCCAGAGAGAGCAGGACCACCAGGCTATCCCTATCCCTGTCATCACGCTCCCTGACCTGCAAGGCCACCACCGCCAGCCCAACAGAGATGAGGCCCAGACCCCCCCCCCCGACCAGGGTGGGCCGGCACCCAGAGGCTTGGGAGCCAACCCCTTTGCCGCTGACCGCTGAGTTTAGAGGGTCTGACATGCAGCCAAAACAATGTACCCTTTAACCTCAGGCCTTCGCATTGTTTGCTATATTGCGTAATGGTGCGAGTTTAGACTTTCAGAGCTACCAGAAGGCGGTGAAATGTATTCTGTGGCTAAGAAAAAGGCATAAATTGGTGTAGCCAAGCTGAAATGCTATGCGTTGAATCTGTGTTCCTTCCCCCCCCCCCAAAGAAACATAGAAACATTCATGTTGAAAGCTAAATTCACAATGCAACCGTATTAGAATGGAGACTAGAAGCTGAGTAACTCAGGAGCAGAGTGCTCTCGGGAGCAGCAATCCTGACGTGAGGGGTGTGGTGGCTGGACAGAAGGCCTTCACTGCACCCCACACTTGAGGAAGCCTGGCCTTGGGCACGTGAGTGTAAGAAGCCAATGTATGCTGTCTATAAGTTGTGCAGAACCAATGCAACAGTGATATACACAATACATTGGAAAGGATCCGTACAACTGGGAGGGGCAGGGAGAGGGTAGGGGAGAGAAAGCAGGAAAGAATTGAGAGTAGCAGCAAGGTTGACAGGAAATGTACTCATCACCTTATGTATGTAACAAACCGCTCTGTACATCACCTTGACAATTAAAAAACGTTTAAAGTATTTCATTATACCAACCCAAATGCCCTACACAGAATACAGTCCTATTCAGGGAAAGAAAGAAGGGAGAAGGAAAGGAGGAAGGGGAGGACAAAGGAAAGAGAGAGGAGAGGAAAAGGAGAGAGGGAGGAAGGGTGGAAGAAAGGGAAGGAAGGAGGAAAGAAAGGGAGGGTGGGAGGAAGGGAGAGGGAGAGAGGGGAGCTGGGAGGAGAGAGAGGAAGGGGAAGGGAGGGAAGGAGGGAGGGAAGGAAGGAAGGGAGTCCTGATACATGCTACAGCACACAGAAACTGTGCTGGGTGAAAGCAAGTGACAGGAAAATGAACACACACACTTGTGTTTATATGAAATACCCAGGAAAGTGACATCAAGCAGATCAGAGGTTGGCCAGGACTCATGCTGGGAACTGAATGATGGACATGTTAGAAAGCTGGATGGTGGCTGTGGCTGCCACCTAGTGAGTATGTATGTTAACATGTGATTTAATTTACGCGTAAGGCAGTGAGTCTGACCATGTGTGAATGGGGTTTCTGTAAGGCTTTCGAGGAAATCAGTGCATGATTTTGAACGTCCACTACATTTTTTTGTTGCAACAAATAAACAATTCATTTATGTCCTGGAAGAAATAAAGTAACACCCAGTTCCTTCCCAGAAATATATTCTCTAGCCTTTTTACAACAATCTCCCTGTTTGTCTAAGGTAAATAGCATTAACCTTCATTCTTGAGGGTGTTGCTAATAACAAACATCAAGGCCTAAGGTGGTGAAGACTGGAGAAACAGACAGACGGATCAAAGAGCAGAAAAGAGGAAATCGGAAATGATCATTTTCCTCCTGAAGCAGGAACAGGTGTTGGGTTTGTTTTCTTTCACTTCTGGTTTCCAAACTGATCCAGGAAAAGGTATTTTAAGAAGAGGAGGAGGATTACAATCCAGCAGAGACAAGGTGAGTGGTGAAGCCCTCGGTCAAAGAAAACACTCGGCTCAAGTTGACATGGTAGGTGCAAAGGTTTGTTTGATCGTTAGCACTTCTAAATCAACTCACCAACCCAATCATCAAAAACTCAGTAACAACTTTTCATAATACTTAAAATTGTAGTGCTTACAAGTAAAATAAACCATGACAGAGAATACACCAATAGTTAGTCTAGGCACAGAGGGATGGTTTTAAATGCCAGCACAGGTCCTCTTCCTTCCTGCGGCTCTTCTGCAATCTCGTCTTTGATCGCCTCTTGTGCCTTACTTCATTCCACCACGCTGACTTTGGCGCTGTTACTTAAACATGGCAGCATGCACAAACTCCAGTCTCAACATGTAAGCAGTCTTGTCTCACGCAGCATGGCAGCACCGGGAACTGAATCCTGAGTTTTCGCTCTGCTCTTCCCAGACTCACCAACATGGTAAATTTAGTTCTCCTGTTGTCTCAGCCAAAATCCCGGATCCACCTTCCTTTTCTCACAATTGACATCCAAATTCTCAGCAGCTCCTGCTTCTAGAGCTCAAAGTTCATCCAGGGTCCTCAGTCACTACCCACCATCTGCACTGCTCCTGCAAGGATGCAGGCAGCCATCTTTGTTCCCCAAACTGGAGCAGATACTCCAACTCTTCCCCAAGAAGCTGTGGTCCATATTTCAGGCAGACTTGGCTTGGAAAACCATGCTATGTCTCCCCTGTCTCACTAACACAGGAAGCTAATGTTATTCCATTTGCCCACAGCGTACCCTGGGGTCCCTCCCCTCACGGTCTTTGGGGCTCACTTCCTGTTCCTTTGCCTAGGGTTCTTTCTTCCATGGATAACTGGGATTGCCACTTTCTACCCAACGAAAGACACATGGAATGCCGACCCCTGGATGGCCTGTTTTCTCTGTGTGGCACCCAGCTGTTCTAGAGTCTCCTGGCTAACACCTTCCCTTCCGCCAGTCTTTGCACGAATGCCACTGAGCTGTGAAGTCTTCCTCACCCCTCACACACACGCCAGGCCTCGCTGTAGAAGGGGAAGTTCTGGGATTCCTTTGCTTAATCGTACAAAGCATGTAAAATAGTGCCTGGAACACACCAGTGTTCATTAATTAGAACATAAAATCTGCAGGCCTCTGCTCCTTAAACTTAAATCACCAAGCCACTCAGACTGCTGGGATATACATGAAAACTAATTTAGGAAAGAAAAGCAAAAGCAAGCAATACTATTTATCAGACTGCTGACTTCATTATTGACTTGAACACAAGACAGTGGCAAGATTAAATACCTTTCAGTCAACAAACTCGGACCCTGTGTTACACAAGTCACCGCAACATGGGTTGAACATTTGAACTTAAACTATACAACTCCCAGAAGAATACAACACTCCTGACATGAGTCTTGGCAATGATATCTTGTATTTGATATTAAAAACACTAGAGAAAAAAAATAGATGAGTAGAGCCACCGAATTCTAAAAAGCTCCAATTC